CCCAAAGTCAAACTTGGTCAAAAAGTCAACGGTCAATGGTCAATGAAAGTTATGTTGGATAAGGTGTCTAAGTCCATAACTATATTTGGTATGTACTTGACCCGGCCTGGCATGGTCCATTTGGGTTGCTCGGCATCTCAACGATTGGATAGACATAATGAGAAAAGGACACTTATGGTTTGTTAATATAGTATAAGTTCTAATATATTAATATGAAATCGTATTATTTAATTAGTATTGATCAAGAATTAATTTGGAATTAATTTTGTGATCAAAAGAGACTAATTAAATATATGAGGATTGATTATGTAAATCTTTCATTCTTATATAGTGGGCTTATGGTTCATGATTCACTAGATTAGGCTACGACCCATTTGGTGCTCCATGGATACTCCATGGAGGTTAAAACCCATGGATCATGGGGGAAATGAAAAGCCATGCACATTAGGGTTTACATGGTGTAACCCTACATGTGACACACTATATAAGCAACCTCATATGGAGCAAAATCGGCCACTAATAAAAGACAAGGAGGGCTAGCCGATTTTTTGAGTGAAAGTGTTCTTCTCTCAAGTTATTCCAAGAGTTGTGGTGTTGTGTGAAACATTTGAGGCATCACATTTGGGGTGCTAGGCTCACAAGGTCTTAAGGAATCCAAGCTACAAAAAAAGGTATGTCATTCTACTAGTTTTTTATATTACAATTACCCGATGCCATGCTACTTAGGATGAGAACCTTGGAAAATCAAATTTGCATGAATATTAGAGAAAACATAGATCCAAGGTTTCTAGGGTTGCATGTACACCATAAGAGTGTTAGAATGCTCAAAACCCATCAAGTTAACAGTCAACCGTCCTCGCGACGTGACCATCTATGGGTCACGTCGTGAGCCACTACATGACATGCATCCCTCACGTCGTGAGATCCGTCTGAGTGTTATTTTGATCCAAAAACTTCTTAGTCCATTAAGCAACTAATCCATCTTTTCCAGGGCTTCCTAATACTCCTAGGATCATAAAAATCGATGCTTTAAGGTCTTGTATGTCCAATACAGGACTTGAGATCAAACTAGGTCATTTATGATGAAAAGGAGTTAGGTTCTCAAGCATGGACTCAAACATCCTCCAAACTTCAGATCCATAAGATATAAGCACCAAGGGACCCTTTGGACCCATAAATTTGCCAACTTTATGGAGTCCCAATACTCTAACTTATAAACCATGGCAAAATATGCATAAAACCTTAGATCTAGCAACAAGGAAACATAAAGTTTGGATATTGGTTACTCATAATGGTCCAGAAGTGTAGCTAGAGGTTGCAAATGGAACTTCCAAGATGATACAATGCTTCAATGGTGATCTCTTCTTCTCCAAGCCACCAAAAGTTCAAGAATCACAATGAGAGGCTAGGGTTAGGGTTTTACTGAGCTTAGGGATGAAGGAGGCTGTTTTGGAACCCTAAAATGAAGTTTATGGGGTTTAAATACGATGGAAACCCTAAAAGATCATGGTCTTGGGTCGCAGCACATCTCACGTCGTGAACTCAGCATAATTCAGCATCTTCATTTAATCACTCCTCACGTTGTGAACCCCCCCCCCCCCATGGTCACGTGGTAAGTCCTGGTTTTACCCAAAAACCATGCCTTTGACTCCTTGAAACCCTAAATCGATCCAATCTGGAAACCGGGTGTTACATGAACAATCATCACCGCATGGTAACTCGAGCCCGCACAAATTCTCTCAAGCCAAAAGTCTTTTCATCTTCTTTATCCTCCACTCTCACCATTGAACCCTCGACCTTTAAACAAGTTGTTAAATCTCCTTGTTGGCAAGAGTTAATGAATAGTGAATATGATGCTCTTATGAGGAATAGAACCTGGTCACTGGTTCCATGTCCCGCTAATGTGAATGTTGTAGGTTGCAAATGGATTTATCGGGTCAAAAGAAAGTTAGACGGCTCAATTGAGCGATACAAGGCTCATTTAGTTACGCATGGATATAGTCAAGAGGAGGGTATCGATTACTTTGAGACATTCAGTCCCGTTATCAAACCCATAACGATTCGATTGGTGTTATCTATTGCAATCTCAAATCATTGGCGTATTCGCCAACTAGACATCAATAACGCATTTCTTAATGGTGATTTAGTAGAAGACGTCTACATGAGGCAACCAAGAGGCTTTATAGACTCCACCTATCCGTCTCATGTTTTCCGCTTGGTTAAGGAGATTTATGGCCTTAGACAAGCACCACAAGCCTGGTTCAATAAGCTCAAAACTTATCTTATCCAACAAGGGTTTCGTCTTGTCAATCAGATACATCATTGTTTGTTAACACATCCAAAAAAAACCACTATTTATATTCTAGTCTATGTTGATGATCTGATTATCACTAGTACAAATGTGAATATAATTCAAAACATCATTCATCAACTACACAAGGATTTTTCACTAAAAGATTTGGGAGAGTTACATTTCTTTCTGGGTATTCAAATTACTCGAAAATCCTCTGTTGTGACTCTAAGTCAAGAAGGTTACATTAGAGATATTTTAACTAAAAAACACATGTCATAGGCTGCGTCTGTTTCCACTCTAGATGATACCCAAATGAAGTTAACAATTGAGGGTGATTCGTTCTCTGATCCAAAACTCTACAGACAAGTGGTGGGCCCACTTCAATATGTTACGATCACACGTCCTGACATCACATTTGATGTCAATTGAGTATGTCAATATATGCATTCTCCAATTGTTCATCATTGGAAAGCGGTTAAACGGACCCTACGATATCTTAATGGCACCCTCAATCATTGTCTACATTTTTCACCAACTAATTCCACTTCTCTACTTGCTTATTCTGATGTCGGTTGGATCTCAGACAAGGATGGTAGCAGATCTCAATATGGTTTTGCAATCTTTCATGGTTGTAATCTTATAAGCTGAACATCAAGAAAACAGAAAGTTGTTGCTCGTTCTAGTACGGAGGCTGAGTACATATCTCTTGCATACACAACATCTGGATTAATTTGGATTAAACAACTCTTATCTAATCTTGTTGTCCATGTCAAGAATGCTCCTATGCTCCTGTGTGACAATGTTAGTGCAATCTTCATGACAAATAAACCTGCCATCCGCACCAGGTCCAAACACATTGCATTGGATTTCCATTTTATAAGAGAACAAGTTGACTCAAAAGATCTTCATGTAAGTGTTGTGTCTTCAATCAACCAATTAGTAGACATCTTCACTAAACCCCTCACCAAAGAACATTTTTTGTTCCTCAAAACCAAGCTTCAAATTCGTCCTGCCTTTGATCTTGTCGGGGGGTAACAACTGTAACTTCTCGTAGTCAACAATAGTCAGCACGTGCTCAAGACCTGTTCTCATCTCTCTTATGCAACGTGTTCGAGACCTGTTCATAGTCAAATATGTGTACCCGATAATTAGGACTTTAGTTGTATTTTGTTGTATTTATACCTTTGTTGTAATCAATGTTCAATCAAGGAATTCAGATTCAATTTACTTCAATTATACTTCAACTCTTCAGACGTGGTGTACTTTTGTTTGATTTTCTATGTGTTTTCTATCTCGAAAGGTAGTATGTAGTATATAATTTGTATTATATGTTTGTGTTTCTATTTCTTAGTGATAATCAATCCATTGTGATTTTTCGTCTTCTTGGTATATGTGTTTATGTTTGTTGCCCAACAAGTGTTCGATGAAATGTCCACATGAATCATTAGTAAGCTATATATGTTTTTAACCTAATAGAGCCCCTTTATATGTTTTGGATTCAAGATTATCCGCTTTTGGATACATAGTTTGATTTCTCGGGTCAGGTTCATTTTGCTTGGATTTGTTTAATCAGATGTGGAGCCCAATGTCCATGAAAGGTAAAATTTAGTCTTTTTTAATGCTTGTTAATTAAACCTTTATATGAACAAGAACTTTGCCTTTTTTACTTCTGTTTTTATTAAAGTTTTGCATTATTTAGGTATGGTTGGTGTTTTGTTCACAAAATAGTAACAAAGCCAAGAAAGAAAGCCAAGGATATAATAATTTTGCTTCATTGCTGTCAAGAAGTAAACAAAGCCAAGCAAGAAGTAACCATTGTTTGTGTTTAGGAATATATATCTTGTAAATTTGTAGGGGACTCCATTGTACGTACTCTATAACTATTGAGTAATGCAAGTGGAAACCAAAGCATTCAAAATGATTTTTTTTTTTTTTTTTGTATTGATAATTTAGTGCCATGTTTTATGGGCTTTGATGATGCTTGGAGAACTAGCTGAATTTTTGTTGATGAAATACAAAATATGGTTTTTAGGAGTAATTATATTAGTTCTCATACAATTGTCATCTTTGTATATATAGTAAACAAATATATTATTGTAATGGTTTATTATAGGATGCTCGAATTGATACAATATGTAATTATTTTTATTGCAATTAACGGGTTGACACGATACTACACGATAATTAAACGGGTTGAATTAGGGTCAAGATCTCTCAAACCGTTTAATATTTTACAACCCGACACATTTGTCAGGTATACTCAAAACTATGAATCAAGGAAAAAGTCAGGATTCTTCTCAAGACCCAAAAAAATGACATAAAGTCTTCCTTTGGCTCGTAGCAACCACTTGCCTTTATAATCCAACCTGTGTCTCGGATTCCAACTACGGTATATTTACTTAATTAGGCTTTAAGTTAGTATAATATTGTGTGAATTGTGAAACGTATTTTACCAAATCACCATGGATATGAGTAGAGAAGTTTCATTATTCTTTACTTATCACAGAATCACTCGTTTGAATATTCTTTCAAATAATAAATTTCTTTCGATCGTTCTAGAGAGCTATACAAACACACGTAACAAGGCATGGCTCAGTCAAGGTCTCCTCCTGAGAAGGCGAATATAAAACTAATATTAAATTCTACTTAAATAATTAAATAACCCTTGGATTTTGGAATAAAAAAACACTTCCACAAGAGTTGCGATATGAAGAATATCACGCATCCTCTTCGTTTGTCTCTATTTGTAGCCATTATATTGCTTCTTGTGGGAGTAGCATATCCATATCCAATGGAGTCGATGAATTTAGAAGCAAATAAAATTACAAAATCATCTAAGAGTAATAATGTGATTCAAGTTGATATCGGCTTGCTACTAGACTCGAGTTGGAAAAGTAAAGTGCTGCTCAAATCATTTATAGAAATGGCGCACTCAGATTTCTACGCCACTCATTCTATGTACACTACACGCTTGTACCTGCGCACCTTGTACTCCAACAATGCTATTGATGCAGTTTCTGGAGGTAAATATTATTTTCTAATTATGATCGATAGTGTGTATGTATATACAAAAATACGTATGTATATATGTGCTTGCACATGCATATCAGCATATGTGTATATAAATGGTTGTGATTGAAGAGTTACTCATGTATATATTCAATCATTAATCTCAAAGTCTTGCAACAATTTAGGTAAAATTAGATATTTAATCATAGTAGTTATTATATAAAATAATGATGACAGTTATTTGAATCTATAAGATCGATCTTTACTATTTTATTACTAACAAAATGGGTTTTTACATGCAATATCAGATTAACAAATACCATCTACTTAACTTGTGTTAAGTTTAACATGTATCATGTCTTACATAAATATATTTTAAAAATACTTTTCTTACTATAGATGTTTGATTCAAAATACAACATTTTAATTCTAGATGACTTTTTAGTGTAAATTTCGTCCTTGCTCATATTAACAACTATTATATATGGAATTAACTTTAATCCATATAATATCTATTACAAACGAGAAATTAAATATGCTCCTACATTTTATTCTTACTTATCCTCCTAAGTCCTATCTTATCAAATGTTGATATTTGTCATATTTTTATGACACATGAAATGAAATTTATAATATTTTAGTCTACTTGTCACCATTTAATGTCGGTAAGTAAGAGGATAGTAGGAACACAATGTATGAGGATATTTAATTTATCATTACAATTTTGTCATGAATGTTTACATGCTTCGTAAACAAGTATTCAAACAAACGTGTGGAAATTAAGGAGTAAGGTTTGTGGACCAGATGGGATGTTTTAATATTTTGTGGTCCCAATTCCCAATGAGGAATGCCGACTTGAGGCTTGTTTTGGGCTTGTAAATTGTGATCCCCAATTTGAAAGCCACTCATTTTAGGATTCATTGATTGTTTATACAAGGCTATATATAAAACTATTATTAGCCATATTTTTTAATCATTTTTTTATTTCCTCTCTCTTTAGTATCCTCTTTACACCCATGTAATCCCTTCTTCTCATTGGCGATTTTATAATACCATGTTCTTATGCCTTGTGGTTTTCCCTCACAAGTCTTTCCACCTATATTTGTTTTTTGGTGTTCTTATTTATCTTCTTGTGATCATCTTATTTGTAACAATCAAGTTGCCAATACATAAACAAAACTCAAATAAGTTCAACAATGATGAGCAAGTAAATCAAGCAAAACAAAACTCAAGTGATTTATTGAGCTCCACTATCAATATGGTAGTGTACATAAACAGGAAAGGAGGATGAGTATTGATTTTACTAGCACAAAATATATAAGAGTATACAAATGGAGTGTTTGTTATCTAGCAGTTAAACGATCCAACTCAACATATGTCATAACTCACAATGGTGGTCAAACCAAATAGGGTGGTAGGATAGATATATTTAATTTTCCAAGTTGACCTTTCAAGTCTCCCCAAGGTATAAAAAAGTCTAGCATCACCAAATTTTGTATTGTATTTTTCTTAGATTTGTGCATCCATGGTAACAAAGATTCTTACCCATGGGACCATAACAAAGAAAATCTTCTACCATATATATACAATCTTAATTAAGCTATAATTTCTCTTTCAAGATGATATTGTCCCTTGTTTTACATATATAAAACTAATATAGGATCTAATACTCTTGTCGCTTCAAATGCTAAACAGTTGTAGAGTTATTAAAAGATCAAGTGAAAGCCATTATTGGGCCAAAGAATCTTGTTGAAGCCATATTTATTACGGAGCTCGGAGAAAAGTCACATGTTCCCATCATATCTTTTGATAGCGCAAGTTATTCACATCTGCACATACAAAAACCTTACTTAATCAGAAACTCAGTGACTGACTCTTTTCTAGCTCCTACAATCGCACTCATCAAAGAATTTAAATGGAACAAAATTGCCTTTATCTATGAAGACGGCATGTTTGACACTTGCATATTTTCTACTCTCCGTGATTCGTTCCAAAGAGATGGAATTCACATGTCTTATATGAGTATCATTCCTTCCAATGCTACAAATCACCAAATCTCTAATGAACTTGGCAAACTAAATCAGTTAGAAACTACAGTCTTTGTAGTACATATGAGACACTTGTTGGGATCTCGTTTCTTTAAACATGCTAAAGGATTAGGGATGATGATAAAAGGGTATGCTTGGGTTATCACAGATGTCTTAGCCAATTCACTACATTTGATTGATTCAACATTGATGAATTCGTTCGATGGAGTCCTAGGCATCAGACCTCATGCACCTTCGTCAAGGGTGCTTGAAAATTTCACAAGGAGATGGCAAGAACATTCACATGTGATCAATACTTCCAGCTTAACCACACATGAAATTAGTGTGTATGGGTCATGGGCATACGACACTATTTGGGCCTTGGCTACAGGCATAGAGGGGGTCAGAAATAAGGAACTTAGCTTTGTGAAAGAGAAAAACAACAAAAATGGTGGGGAAATCTCACAGTTAGGGATATCTAGAGTAGGTCCTCAGCTTTTGAAGGTTATCAACAACAAAAGAATCCAAGGGTTAAGCGCGAAGCTGTTTTTGTCACGAAAGGAACGAGATCAACTCGCTAATTATCAGATATTCAATCTAGATGGAGGACAAAGGATCGTTGGGTATTGGTCCAAGGATAAAGGAATATGTCGGGAGTTGGATTCAAATGATAGATTAGAGAACTCAACATCAGTAGAAAGCCTCAAAAAAATAATTTGGCCAGGAGAGACGACAAATATACCAGTTGGTTGGATGCTGCTTAAAAGTGGAAAGAAGTTGAGAGTTGCAGTACCCAAAAAGAGAGGTTTCACTCAATTCGTCAAAGTGAAAAGGAATAATAATACCAATGACACCGAAGTGACAGGATTTTGCATAGATTTATTCGAAGAGGCTTTAAAACTTTTGCCTTTCGAAGTTGTTCCGGAATACTTCCCGTTTATGAACAGCAGTGGGCAAAGCAGCGGGACATATGATGAACTTTTGAGTCAACTTCAAAGCAAGGTGATCCCTTAATTTCTTCTACCGTATACACATAAATATGGTTGTTTAATTACGTAATGCATATATGCATGTATATTTTTAATCATTTGCTGAAGGATCGAGTTCTTTTTAGACTGTTGATGCAGTGATAGGGGATACTACAATTGTGTATAACAGGACTACATTTGTAGACTTTACCTTGCCATATTCGGAGCCAGGCATTGTGATGCTTGTACCGATTAAAGATGACAAGTTGAGAGGCATATGGGTTTTTATAAGGCCATTAAAATGGGACCTCTGGTGCACAATCGCTGGTGCTTGTTTATTTGTTGGACTTGCGATTCATGTTTTAGAGCGCAATGGGGATCGACCATGGAAATTTGGCCTCTTTTTCTGTTTCCCGATATTAATCCTTGCTTTTCCAGAGAGTAAGATTCATGGTCATCCTTGAGTTAAAGATATCCATCTCGCTATGAAATGCTTTAATTCTCATGCATATCATCCATTAATTGTAGTTGATGATGTTCTTAATTCTTTTTGTTGCTTGTGGATGTAGGGAAAATCGTGTACAATAACTGGTCAAGGTTTGTGTTGGTGATATGGTTATTTATGGCATATATAATCATGCAAGGTTACACAGCAAGCTTATCAGCGATCTTGACTATTGAACAACTATAACCATCCCGCACAAATTTCTCCTGCGTTGGTTACTATGGAGGTTCTTTTGCAAAAGATATATTGACTCGAAAACTGAAATATGAAGAATCTCAACTCCGTGAATATCAAACTATGGAAGAATATGCTTTTGCGTTGAAGAATGGATGTCAAAATGATGGAGTTGATGCTATATTTGACGAAATACCAAACATCAGGCTTTTCATGCATACATATGGTCCAAAATACATGATGGTCGGTCAAACATTCCCAACAGATGGTTTTGGATTCGTAAGTTTTTTCTCATGCATGATCCATGAATTACATAAGTGATGTATCTATATATGTCAAACTTATATATACTTTTCTATGGTTTTCCAGGCATTTCCATTGGGCTCTCCATTGGTTCCTTACATGTCAAGAGCAATTCTAAATATCACAGAGAGTGACATGATGCGAGATCTCAAGGAAAAACATTTTGGGGATAAATATTCTTCTCAAGATTTTAATCCCCAAATCTCTCCAGAAGCTCCAGGTCTTAATGCATATAATTTTGCAGGCTTATTTATCGTCACAGCTTTTGCTACCATGATTGCTTTGCTTTGCTCCGAAAGCTCGTTTGGCAAGAAATGCGCTTTCAAACTAAAGGATTATGAAAAGAAACAAGGATCCTCTTTTTCTTCGAATAAGGTAGTAGCATTAGATGATTGTGATATTGTGTCTGTGAGTGGTGTCTCTACCAATATCATATTGCCAACACACATCCATCAGGATGATGCAAATGCAAATGCACATGCGCCTCCGTATGTCGATGCAGATGAAGATTCAATATACGAGGAGGTATAACGTACGTTTTAGTTTGTAACTAGTGATCTCTTTAGGTTCTTTTTATTGGTTTAGATGTAAATCATGTAATAATATTGGTGTATATTAATCAGTATATACTTACTTTCTGAGCATCCTTTCAAAACTCACAAAATAGGCGTTTGTGTATAAATACGAGTTGTGATGTAGAACAATTGTCGGTATAACCTTCACTAATTATTTGATTCAGAAATACAAGTTCTTTTTTCACTTTATTACACAAGACTTTGTAGTTATCCATGTTATATATCCGCCTTTGGCCTAGCGCTAAGGAGTAACTCTCTCAAATAAGAAATCATGGTTCAAGTCTCATTAGAAGACATAGGTGGTGTTTAGGATTAGATTAGGAGTAGGATAATTTGTCGTTTCAAATATATATATATATATATATATATATATATATATATATATATATATATATATATATATATATATATATATATATATATATATATATCTGAGAACAATTTCACGCAAACTCATCTTCCCAATGCCAATGGGTGACCGTAGCTTTCAAATTTTAAAGGCCTCATTTTTATATACATTATAATAATAATATAGGAAAAAAAAACTTGATATATCGTGTATAACAACCCAGTGGAAAAATAAAAGAAAATAGAGTCAAAACAAAATCAGTAGAGAAAATTAAGGGGCGTGTGATTCTTCTTGAATAATCATCGCATTACGTCTCACACCACCATCGATCAAAAAACTTTATAAATTAATTCTGATTTTCGATTTCAGTATCTGATTCTAAAATCTAATTTCAATCTTTCTTAATACATACTGTTGTGGTCCAACTATTGACATTTTTGTCAGGAAATTCGTGAAAACTTGGCGTGCGTGATTCAAGTTGATGGAGACGCAGTACCTTCTAATCAAACTATCCAGCTAATGCAAATCCAGGTCTTAGCCGACTTTTACGAGTTGGGTATGTACCAGTTTGAAGATATATGTGATTGTAAGTTGGAACAAACCTAGAGAAGAAAATGGAAGGTGTGTTTACGAGTTTCTATGTACTTGACCTATACTCTCCCTTTATTGTAATAGGCATATACTTTACCTGTACTCTCCCTTCATGTTAGTCTCGGGAACAGGGGGTATAAGAAGATAAAAAGAATGTGATGGTGGATGAAGGCAGGTAGCAGTTCCTGATGATGGCTTGCTTCGGGAACATTGTCTCTTTAGTTACCCAAGAGCATAGATATTTGTAAAGCCTACAGATACGGGGTAGTCAATTAAAATAGAACAAACGATAAAAACGACATTTTGATAGAAGATTATTTAGGATAAGTAACCTTAACCAAATTGATAGTATATGTGACAAGGATTTTGTACATATAAAGAACTCTGAAATCCGATTTTTTATGAAGAAGTTATGTTTATTCGAAAATTTCGCGATTAAACCGACACGGCTACGTGCGTCGTAAAAAGTGAATATTAGATAGGTTGCTTATTAGCCTAAGTAATCTAACCGAAAGTCATAGTAATCGTAAAACCGAGAGAGTGCATATAGAGAACGTCCAAATCTGACTTCGCGAGAGTAAGTTATGATTTTTAAAAGTTTCAGCGCAACATTATGCGACACGGAAACTCGTCATATGATTGCAACACGTGTTAGGTCAGGAGAAGGTCACATCACCCGATCTGACCATTTGCGTGACAAGCTTCGACAATCTACGCGACACATTCTCTGAGTTTGGCTATATATAGTTGCTAGTTTCAGCCTATTACTCACATACTTTTCTCTAATTCCCTCTAGAATACTTTCTAGCTTTTAGCCCTTTACTCCCAAGTTTCCAACCACTTCGGTGAATCCCAGCGGTGTCAGATAGCTGGTGAATAGAAGCTTCCGAATCAGAGTTATGCTCGTATAATTCCATGTTTTTGTTAAAAGCTCTGTAAGTTAAGCTACACTTATTTTATTCAAGTGTAACTTTTAATTATAGTCATAGGCATTATTATGAACCTATAATTAAGATTTATCAGTGATTCCAAGTCATTATACTGATTGATTCACTTACGGGGATGGTGTTTAGGCTGAATTTAGTGAGGTGTTTAAAGTGAGATTTCAAAACAGTATACTTTGTAAACCAAACGGACCCAACCTCCAATATGATTTTATCTGGTTGTTCCTTAATTGATAGATCTTGATGTAGACATTGGGATTAGTGAGGAATCTAGACTATCATTAGTCACAATGAATATAAGACTAAGGGGTTGTTTGTTTTAGCTTCTAATTGGGTTCAATAAGGGACCGGGTCCAAAAAAAAAGAATTCAACATGTTTGATAGGTACCAACACTCAAGGACTCGGTACATTGTGTAGACTCGGTCCAAGCTTTCAAGCTGATTCGGTTCCCTCTTTTCAATCGTTGGAAAGGGACAACAAATAAGCAATAGGTTGGATTTCCAATTTTTCCCGTACAATTTTATGAACGCCTCCACATGAAAGAAAGCTATTGGCGATTCCACAGAGAAAGAAAGCAATTGACGATTCCACAGAGAAAGAAAGCAATTGGCGACATGTTGCTGTTGTTCGAGTTTGTTGCTCCTTTTTGTTGCTCGATTTTTGCTGAGATATTAGAGCATGTTGGTATTATTTGTTGTTCGGTATTTGGTGTGAGTTGTTGCTGATTTTTCAATTTGTTGTTGTGAAAAATTGTCTGATACAAAGTTGAAATATGCCATGATTTTTTGGATTTATTGTTGAATTGTTGCTGATATTTCAGAATTTCTTTTATTTTATCAACCTGGTCTCATAAAAAATACATAATTAAATGATAAAATCAAGATTCAAAACACAACCACATAGTACAATTTACAATTCACAATTGCAAAAATGTCATGTTGTTTTATAAAGTAGTTGTAGAATGAAAGAAAATGTAAGGGTGTAAATTTAAACCTTGCAAGAAAGAGAGCAGAAATGGAATGGTTCTTGAAGTATTCTCTCACATGTGAAACATGAATTTGCAAGACCTTTACAAGACCTGGTTTGTGCCCTCTAGTTGAAGAACATCACTTTTGCATTGTTTATTGTATACGGTTGCATTTACAATAATAATATATCTATCAAAAAGTATATTTTCATTTTTTATAAAAAAACTCATTTAATATGTGTATGTGTAATTGTGTATTGGATGTTTCTGATTTTGTTTAGCTATTAGCTTTGTTAAATTGTAAATACCCCATAAATTATTATAAGAAATGTTGTTTGAGGGTAATATAGTCAATTTGTAAAGTTTAACACCCGGAATCCAGAAGACCAAGAAAGGAAGAAAACCCTAAATCAAGAAGGCTACTCGTCGAGTCCACGGAGGAACTCGACGAGTAGAGGTGGATTTTGGGTCGCGGGTTAAGTGACCTACTCGACGAGTTGGGGGACCAACTCGACGAGTAGGTCTGGGTTTGGGAAACCCTAATTTCGGGCTTATGTACCCTATTTAAGCATCTCATTCTCTACCCCCTTGGCCTCATTTACAGCCCCCATTGTCCAGAACCTAACCCACGAAACCCTAGAGTTCTTATTGAGTGTGTGAGCCATTTTTGGGTGATATAAGTGATGGGTTTTAGGTGAAACAAATAAACTAGAAAACAATTCCTAAGTTCACATGCAACCTACTTTGGATCTATGTTTTAACTATTGAACATATAACTTTGAATTGCAAAACAAGAACCCTAGAGGAGAGAGGTTATTTTCGAAATTAACAAACTAGGGTTTTAGAATTACATACCTTTCAATTGTTATAGCAAACAATTGTTAATCCTCTTAACTTGATCTTCTTGGAAGCTAGCACCACAAATGTAATGCCTCTAATGGAGTCACACCCAAAAGCTAGCAAGAAGGAAACTTGAAGGAGAGAGAGTAGGGTATGCAAAAATCGGCCCTAGGGTTTCACCAAAGTAAGAGTGGCCAATTTTGGGATCCAGGAGGCTCCTTATATAGCTGAGGGATCTAGGGTTTAGGGAAAACCCTAATACTCCTTTGCTTGGGGCCTAAGCTTATCCAAAGGCCTTATCCAAGCCCCTTGGACGAAATCATTAGGGTTTCCCCTATAGATTTCGTCCACCCCCTTCCAAGGAGGTTCTGGAGCCTTCCACTCAACTATTTGATAATTACAAACTAGTCCCTGCACTTTGTAATTAATACAATTAACCCCAAAATTAATTCTATTTAATTTCTGGCTAACTATTAATTAAACCTTATGATTTCTAATTAATATATTAATCTTTTAACATATTAATAAATCATTTATATTAATTTATTAATCTTATAATAAATCAATATCTCTCCTTTCATAATTTCCTTGTCAAGTTGCTAGGTTTGAGGGCAACCCAAAAGGACTGTGATGCTATCAATTCAAGTACATACCAATTATAGTTATGGGCTTAGACACCTAATCCAACAGTTTCCCACTTGGATAAGTCTGTAACTATAATTGCTAGTATGACTTCTAAATTTGACCAACAAGTTGTAGCTTCCAAAAGCTGCTGCTGAACTCTGACCCAGTTAGTTACGTGTCCTTAGATAAGTGATCATATAATCCTTCGTTCTGCAAGATATCCCCAGACATAAGACATGGAATGTAATCAATCTCTTTGTCCAGAATCTCTGTTTCCCGATTTCTGATTTGTGATGATGTAGGACTTCTAATTGAACACATCAATTTAGTCCTGGTTGGGCCCAGCACATAAGTCAACACCAAATCATCGAGGGGCCCACAGATATCGCTTTTTCGGTTAGGGCAAAAGGAACGAATAAACGTTGACTCATATGCTTGTATCTTTTACTCATCAAATTATACATGACAATACGTTTTATAACACCAAGTTACTGATGTGTTTTCGTATCACCAATGTATAACCGACTTTGTAAATTACAACTCATATATCTTCGTTTGAAGATTATAAGATATTATCATCTCAGTATTACTCGTGATGAATTCCATGAAGTGATACTCTGAGCGAGGGTTTATCCAATAC